GTATCCAGTTCAGGCCACCAAGAACCATTTCACGACGCAAAACTAGTCCTTAACACAACCACTCCAAAACTTATTTTACTTCAAGACCAGCCTGAAACAATCATATTTAAATAACACTAGCCAACAGCACAAAGCCAGTGTGTCTGTCGTGAAGATTTTCACGTCGTTTCCAATTTATTCAGCACCCAGCTCAGCGCTGTCAGTTGTTCTGTGGAGATAACCATACTTTCTCGACGTTTCACTGCGCACTCCAAATACATAAAAACTGTTACCATGCAAGTATTTACTAGGGGAATGTAACTGAACATTAAGTAAGTTCATTATTTTGGTCGACACAAGGGATGATTATGATGACCAGAGTAATCGATTGTTTTCTGTATTAATAACAATTATATTAAATGTAATTTATAAATATCCCGAAACTGGAACCGGAACTTTCCCGAAAAAAATGTTGTATGTAGTAAGGAAGTCTCCACTTTTTGTTTTTGTTCCCTGAAGTTTAGGTAAATTAGCTCACCTTATTTCCGATCACTGATGATGACAAGAAAATTGAAATTCTGACATCAGGTATGGACACGGACAAATCACAATACTATACAGTCAAATTAAATGTTGAATAGCTCTTCTGGATATAAGGGGTATAACAATACCAGAGCGTACGGCGCGTCGCGTTCCTCAAGCGCCTCAAAGAGCCATGTGACCACCACGGATGGGGCCCAATAGGGCTGATGCCGATACGGAGCCGCGAAGAACCTAACGGGTTACCGGGGCTTCGTCTCGAAGTGCAGGAGTAGAAACGGGGTGGTTTTTAATCAGTTAGAGTTTGACACTCCCTCCCGCCTTACCTAGGCGGGAGAAGTCATTCGATGATTTTCCCCCCTTAAAAAAGGGATATAACAATAGGACTAGTTCTAGAAGATATAGAATCGCTCTAAATTCTACTACTAGCTTATGACACCTGGTAATTCGTTTCCTATCTGGAAGTCTAGGAGGTCTTGTGACCGATATGAGATGATGAAATAAACCCTTGTATGTAATAGTTATTCTATCGCTAACATAAACTGTTATTAACAAAACAGAGTCGCATTTTACGATTACTTTAAACTTGAATACAATAACTAAAAAAACTATAAGGTGCTGACTTGCAAGACTACAAGAATAGATCCATTGTGAAATAAAATTTTCCACGAAGATTGGATACCGTGTGACACTAATGTCAAACGTGTAATAAAATTTTACTGCCTCGACGTCTCGCATTCACGTTGAACTTTATTTTTCAATCATGTGAATTGCTTACTACTACATTCTAGATAAAGCTGTTTTATATTTATTGTTGATTTTTTTAGAATACTGATATTGTAAGCTGCAATAAGTATTGTCTAAGACATCACATCACACCTGTTATCCCCGAAAGGGTAGACAGAGGTGCACATTATACTACACTGTATAATGTAACACCCACTTTTCATATTTATGTTACAAGTCCTATGTAATAGGGGGTGAGCCTATTGCTATATACCGGGCACAATTCCAGAATCCGTCCTACGTCCAAGAATAAAAAAAAATCAGTATTGCTTTACCCGGCCCGTATATCGAAACTGAGAGCCCTTGCCCGGCAGTCTCACTTGTGACCACTCGGCCAACGAGGCAGTTTTGTTTAAGATTTTGTATTTATTTTATAGAGTTTAAAATTGAATAACTTCTGTCAAATATCCCTTAGATTAAACTAGAGACTCTGGCGCGTTTTCACCAGCTCTGCTCAGTTCTTTGTGATGTTTTATAGCCTTCCTCGATAAATGGACTATCCAACACAAGAAGAATTATTCAATTTAAATCAGTAGTTCCGGAGATAACCGCGTTTAAATTAAACGAACAAACATTTTTTTAGCTAGTATAAGAAGTATATAAGATGTGTTTCGCCTACGGACGACACTGACCGCTCCCTACCAGGTGCTCGTACACCATAAATAATGTTTTAAAACCACTTCTTCGAAGTACATAAGAGGTCAAACTATCGCTATACAATTTAATATAGAAAATCGATGCACATCACGAACTTTTGACTTTGTCTGGACTTAGTTATTTAAGGTCAAAGCATTTACTTCATTTTCTCTTCGCAAAAAATACTTTTTGGCATGTAGGTACACAAAACAATGGAATAATAAAAAAATCCAAAAAATAAAACGTATATGTATTTATTTTTATTCTTTTCTTTTTTTAATTTTGTATTATTTTTGTATCTGTGTGCGTGCCTACAGTCGAATAAATGCTTTTTCGTTCTTTCTTTCTTTCAAAATATGGCACTTAAGGCGGCCGTAAAAAGTATTCTAAATCTAATAAAACCTCTTTTGTCCATTCCAGAGAGCACTCCCCCTGTTCCTGGTTGTAGCTACAGTGGTGGCGCAGTACGGCGAGGAGTTTGGAGGCTACGAGGGGTACCACAAGGCGCCCATACAGCTGCACCACCAGCAGAGCTTGGACGACCACCACGGGGAGGAGTATGATATGGATTACCATGTTAGTATTGGTTAACCCTTTGAGTACCGTCATTATAGACACAATTAAAGAACAATAGGTTGCGGTCACCGGTGTCCTCGCGGTGTTTGACAGTTTAAGGACCATTTTTTTATTTAAAACTTTGAATAGTTTTCTCGTGGGATAGGGGCAGATCAGCAGGCAGATTATTAGATGGTGAGAATCGGTGACGCCAATGGACATTCGCATCAATAGAACATTTACAAGTGCTCTGTTGGAACAATGGACGACAGTCTACCGATAAAAGATGTATAAAGAGTCACAGCCCATACCCATTTCGGTTCTCCATTTAATTACCCATTCGGCGTTTCCAGGCGCACCCGAAATACTCATTCGACTACTCCGTGAAGGACCCACACACTGGTGACCACAAGGAACATTGGGAGACCAGAGACGGTGACAAGGTCAAAGGTAATTAAATAATTTCATAAGTTTTAAATTCTAAGCGTAGAATCAGTTCTTGTTAGGAAATTGTGAATTGGACTCAACACTTGGTTTTTGAAAGAATGCCTGCGTTACATCTGATTGCGATCAAATTCACAGGACAATCAACAGGTTAATAATACTGGTTACTGGTAAATATCTACGGAATGAGATTGTGTTTCCGAGCCCCACTCAGTACTTAATGTACAGCCAATTTACTGATATAATGTAAGTGAAAATTGCATGAATCGATGGATAATATGTCACTCAAATACGCCAAAACAGCTGAACAGATTTGGACAACATTTAGCTCAGAAATAGATTAATCTAGGCTGCTGTTAATCAGTTATTTCGCCATCAGAAGTTTTAAAAGCTAGCAAAGACCTCACGCCAAATAAAAATTCCACCATGTTTCCACAGGAACCTACACCCTGATCGAGACGGACGGCACAAAACGCGTGGTGGAATACGAAGCTGACGACAAGAACGGTTTCAACGCGGTCGTGCACAAGATAGGAACGCCCAAACACGACGAGTTTGAACACAAGCCCGTGCACGAGTATGAAGCTAAACCAGCATTAGAACCTCTGCACTACCAACACGACTACGGTCATTTCGATGAAGGTTTCGTGCCAGTTTCTGGCGGATTTGGACATTAAAATGTATTAGGCTACAGGTAAAAAATTATGAAGGATTTTGTTCGATGATATTCTTCGGTACATTTTATCACAGTATTTACAATAAGTTCACGCGGAGCAAGAGCATCTCCCAATGTCTTCTCGATCAAATTCCGTGACATTTATCAAATCGTCTATTCACCTTTAGGATGGACGTCTAACGTATCAACGTCCAAAAACGTTCATAAGACAAGAGAACAATTTGTAGATAATACAAGCACTTGTTGTTCTAGTTTTATAATGGCACTTTACCTAGACAAAGACAGTATTTTGTGGTTATTTAAAAATACGAGACAAAAGAATTTGAACTGCACTTGTTAGTAGATAAAGTTCAAAATTTCACATACGTGCGCTGGCGTGGTGCATTATAATATCAACGAACATAATCCCACGAATATAAAACCTGTAGTTCAATATAACTTGGATTTCGACACCTTTTAATTCCTTAGTTCATCAAACAAAGACGGACTGACTCCAAACAGCTTCGCAATGCTCAATCTATGATTTTTAAATGCTTTAATTATATAGCTATACTTGTAGGCTATAAGTTATTATAATTTAAGTCTAAGAATGTCAATTTAAAACTGAATTCTGTAATACATTTCTGATAGTGTATTAGAGAATTTGAACTCTAAAAATGTAATGTACGCTAAAATAACACCGATAGGTTGAAAGGAAATCAGACCTTACAACATTCATAATAAGGATGAAACTATTACTTTGTAGTAGACTTTTACATAGGTCACGTCATATGATGATAATTGTATTCATTAAGAATTTCATTAATTTAAAATACTCACTCACAGAAGAGAGAAAATTTAACTCATTTTAATTTTATACAAAAATGAAATCGGGCAACTATCGGCCGACAAGGCAACAATTTTGGTTACCGTGTGTTGTAACGAGTGTCTCACGAATTATAACATTCCGTTGAACTTAACTAAAGTTCAACGGAATGTTAGAACATTTCGTCTAAGTTAAGCCCCGACTGTATTGTTCTGTTTTGTAGTTTTAAGTGTTGTACAAAACTCTTGCGATTGAATAAACTTTTTATTGTTATAACCTTGTATTAATTCTGTATAACAAACTACAACTATAAACAAAACTTACAACTAATAAACAAGCTGGTACCGAACTGCGAAAGCACAAAACCATTAAACGAAAACCGAAATTATAATTTAAACTTACCTTTTAATCTAGTAAGCAAGCTGAAACCTAAAACAAATCTATCGCAACCTGCGGTCTAAAAACCGCTCTAAAAACGCAGAAAAACCAAAAACCAAACAATACTACTACGGTCCACACTCTGATCGTAGTGGTTGCGCAACTGTCGGGCCACTATCTGGCAACTGTTGCGCGACTCACCTCTGCGCGAGTGCCAGCTTCAACCTGTCATTTTCATAGCGCAGCTGTTGCTCAATGGACTCGGGGGGCGGCGGGTCGATGACCGCGGGCGGGCCGGCGGTCGCCAGCGGACCGCGCGGAGCTCGCCCCACTGTCGCGTAGCCACTTTCCATTCTAAACAGGGCCCACTATCACTCATCTGTCGCGCAACTCTCGCGCTACTGTGGGGCAACTGTGGCACAACTTACCTCTGTGCGAGTGCGAGCTTGAGTCTGTCGTTCTCGTACCGCAGCTGTTGTTCGGAGGACTCGGCGGGAGGAGGGTCGATCACGGCCGGAGCGCCGGCTGACGCCAGGGGACCGCGGGGCGATCGACCTACTGTAGCGTAACCACCTCCCTACAAGAAAAGGTTTACTATTAGTGTACTAGACTAGTGTTTCTTAAGAAAACTGTCAAAAAATCATTTTTTCTATCTAAACTTCGACCAAAAACTACACTATCCAACATTTCATAGCTCCCAAATCAAATCAGTAAACAGTATTACTGCAGAATGGCAATGTCAAGCGGGATTCACTTGCATTGCACTCAGTATTGAAGGCGAGGATGTAACATTGACAATTTAACGCAATTGTCACTTCCCGAGTTAACGCCGAGTGACGCAGGACGTTGTGTGTTTCACAATGCAATATGGGGAAGTCAACTGAATATTGTTAGAATGTTACAAAAGGTGTTTTAGGAATGAAAATCTTACCTTTTTGTTTGAAGTATAATATAGAAACATTAGCTGTTTACTTATTTCCCCTACGTAACAGATTAGAAAGATGAATAATGTTTTATATTAACTATCGTGAGACATACTAAATTAACTAAAAATCGCGGTTGAACCGCGCACGCTGCTCATGAGAAAAATCCCCTCTGTGGTTCGAAACGAGTAACCTTTTCTCAGTATATTCACGTGAGTAATCCGCGATTTTTAGTTAATCAAGATTAATAATCATTCTTTTTTGTGAAGTCGGTTAAAAATGATTAACATATGTACGCCATTTTATCTGTCCGAATGTTATAAACATAGCAAAGGATTGTTTATATTGGCTCTGAAACTATGGGACCCATAATAGATAATTTACCTTCGGAAAACTAATTTCTTAGGGGGGTAACCAAAGATTTTCTACAGGATCAAAATATACTTTAAATCCATAAGCGGAAAGTTTACATATGGACTTCAGTGTTCCGGTGTTTTCATGGTTGTACTGTAGATCGTGGCTTACAGGAGTTGCAGCGGTTTTGGGAGGTTGTGGTGGGCTTGTAAATCAACATAATTATGATATTCAAACGACAATTTCTTGATATTGATGATATTACGATACGGATCATTGATCGTTGTCGGAAGCGGTACAATAATAATTCACGGTAGGGGCATGAGTCTCATTCCACGGAATATTCAATGAATCATTGCAGTATTGGTAAACAAAATTATAACATAATCGTGAGTGAGAATAGATTGACCATTTGCAAAAAATATTTTACTCTATTCATTAATTTGAATTCACCTTGGTGTTGTGATCTATTATTGACATTGGATATACAAGGTGTAGTTTTGAAACCGTGTCATTTCTCGGGGGCATGTCACAGAAGTCATAAAGGTTCAATGTCAATGTTTCGGGCCAATAGTTAAAAATACGGCTATAATAAATCGTTTAAGTTCGACAGTATTTCAGAATAAGCGACAGCAATGTTTCTCATTGGATTTTTATGAAATTAGGATTAATATCAATTATGTGTTTGAGTTTGTATGTGTTAAGCCGCGTTATAAAGTTAGTTACAAGACGGCGGCGTGTACTTCGCACTTACGGATTTCCGTAATTTACAGAAAAATGAAAAATATTTACCTACAATTTTTTTTATTGATTCGGACTCAGAATCGATAGCCGAGTTACCTCCTAGAAAATGACGCGGCTTTAAAACAACACGTTGTATAGAATTTCTGTCAATCAATAGATCCAACGTTTTGGATAATGACCAATGTATAAGTTATAGCCAGTAATGAAAAGAGCGCACAGGAAAGACCTGATTTTGACACAATAATATTGAATTCAATTAGTATGATATCTGTAACCGTACCTGTAGAGTGGAGGACACGGAATGCGCTCTCTGATGTACGTTCATATCTTCCGGCTCTGGTTTGGGCTGCAACAAATATATTACATCAACATACTATTTCAAGCGACATAACGTCGTGGTGGCCCGGAGGTTTATGTCGCACTTCTCATACAAAAGGGTGCTGGTTCGAAACCTACCAACGGCAAGTACCAATGTGATTTTTTCCGAGTCATATGTACTTTCTAAGATTATTCAGACACCACTGACAAACGGTGAAGGAAAACATCGTGAGGAAACCTGGGCTTATAATTTCTAATCATAAGTTTGTAATCGCCAACCCGCATTGAGCAAGCGTGGTGATTAATGCTCAAACCATCTCCGTGTGAGAAGAGGCTTTGCTCAGCAGTGGGCATTTATAGGCTGTTGATAATGATGACTATTTCAAGCATTATTTTGACACTATCATTTAGGTACTAAGGTGCTTATTATACTGCCTCGTTGGCAGAGTGGTCGCAAGTGCGACTGCCGGGCAAGGGGGGCAAAGTATTACTGGGTTTTTAAAATTCTCAGTAGTAGCACGGAGTCTGGAAATGGGCTCGGTATATGGCAATACGCTCACCGCCTATTACATGGGACTCATAACACAAATAGTGAAAAGTGGGTGTCACAATGTACAGTGGCATTAGGTGCCGTAATGTGCACCTCTGCCTGAAGGGGTATCAGGGATAAAAGGCGTGATGTTATGTCATATCATGTGCTTATTATATTGTGTTATTCGCGTTGCTTGCTAGAGTAAAACCTCGCCTGTTATTGTCCAAAGGGGTACATCCAGGGACAAGTCTTATCTACTTGTCGACAGAGGGTACACTATATTTCTTACTAGCTTCTGCCCGCGACTTCGTACGCGCAATCCCGATGTTTCCCGTTCCCGTTCTTGATTTTCGGTAAAAAGTAAAAAATATAATAGGGTAAAAAGTATCCTATGTCTGCCTCCTGGTTCTAAGCTACCTCCCCACCAATTTTCATCCAAATCGATTTAGCCATTCTTGAGTTATAAATAGTGTAACTAACACGACTTTCTTTTATAGATAGATTATACCCACTATGGGATAAACCATGGTACACGGTTAAGCATCATAACAATGCAAATCCTACTACCATACTAATATTATGAATGTAAAAAATTTTATGTTTGTTTGTTACTACTTCGCGTCAAAAATGCTGAAGGGATCGAGATGAAATTTTAAACAGGGATAGATTAAAGTCTGTAATAACACATACGCCACTTTCTATCCCACGGAGACACGGGCAAAGCCGCTGGAAGAAGCTAGTATTGCATAATTTTAGCGGCATAATAAGATTAAATCAATAGCAATGAGTAACAAGACGCATTGCTCTGAGAAAGCAACAAGGAGACGCGATACACAAACATGAGATATATGAAAATTGAGCTTTTTTTAAGGGGGGAAAATCATCGAATGACTTCTCCCGCCTGGGTGAGGCGGAAGGGAGTGTCAGACCCTTACTGACTAAAAACCACCCCGTTCCTTCTCCTGCACGTCGAGCCGGAGCCCCGGTTACCCGTTAGGTTCTCCGCGACTCCGAATCGGCATCGGCCCTATTGGGCCCCATCTGTGGTGGTCTGAAGGCGCTTTGAGACGCGCGCGGAACGCGACACGCCGTACGCTCGGGTAAAAATTGAGCTTACCAAGGCCTGAGCAGGTGACACGGCGGGCGGTGGCTCATCCCCACCAGTGGCTCTACCAGCGAGCAGTGGGCTGGCGGTGGCGCTGGCGACGGGGGTGGCGGCGCCACTGTTACCGTTCGTAACTGATTTGCCACCAGTAGCGCCACATTGCTGCGCTTGAATCGCTTCTTTTACCTCTTGGAACTTTTCTATGAACTGCAAGGAAGGTAAAATATTAATAATAATATGGCTATTGAGTGTTGATATCAAGAAAAAAATTGGCTTGTGCTAGAAAGAAAAAGATTTTGCATAACCGTAACATAACATTATCATGCGTCTTATTGGAAAAAAATTGCACTGTTTATTGCAGGATTAAATTCCTCATTATCATCACCATCATCTTAGTTTTTTTTATGGCATAAGCCGGTAAACGAGCAGACGGATCACCTGATGGTAAGCAATCGGCGTCGCCCAAGGACAACTGGAACACTATAGGCGTTACAAGTGCGTTACCGGCCTTTTGGGGATTAGAAGTTTGAGGATCGTTGAGGATTCAGGGATTGGGGATATTGGGGGTAGGAAAGGGTAATTGGGCCTCCGGTAACCTCACTCACACGACAAACACAACGCAAGCGTTGCTTCACGTCGGTTTTTGTATGAGGCCGTGGTATCACTCCGGTCGAGCCGGCCCATTCGCGCCGAAGCATGGCTCTCCCACACTTAAATCTTTAAAAGTTACACAGTAAGTTCGCTGCAGCTGAACATGGGCGATTGGTATGAGTTGGTACTATCAACCTGGTAGCACTCACCTTGCCAAGCTCCGGTTCTGATGCGAACCCGAGTCCGTAGACCGTGTTGGCTCTAACATCACTCCACTGGCCGAACTTCTGGGAAGTCTTAGTGAAGGTCATGTTCGCTGTTATCGTACTGTTGATCACCGCCTGTGGACAAATTCATAAGTTACAGTCAAAGCCTTTATTTTAACTCAACCACATACAGGCTCTTCTGAAATATAACAATTTTTATAGTCCGTCAGTATAAAGTTAGCTGATCTTAATTATCCTTTAAGGTTTCCTCCCATGACTCTTTTACGACATAACTCGATCAGTTTCAGGTGACGCTAAGGGCTCATAGTCTCGTGCTACATTGAGCGACCAACGACACATTATTATGGCTTTGAAGCTCAAGCAGTAGGTTAAGGTGCATGGGTACGGTACTTAAGGTAGTTAAGGTACTTGTTAAATGCTATAACCTGTGAATAAGTCTAATAATGTGATTTTCTTTAGAAGCAACAATAGAAGTTCGTTCTTCTCTAGGGTTACTGCTAAAAGACATTCACTTCAGAACAAACACCCAATATCATTAAGTGACTAACGATTGTCGAGTAATTTTTGACAACCATAAATCGCACCCGGATCCCCTTGTTTTATTTTCCAATTACGACCGCTTGACCACCGAGGCAGACATACTAGGTACATACAAGAATAAACGGAAATGCATGCGATAGGAAGGGGCATCTCGAGACGATACTCAAAGTAAATCAAGTGCATCCTGGGTCATTCAACCTTGATATCAATTAATTGAGCGAATCATCTCTGAAGATGGTATAAAGAACGAACATTCTACCAATCTGGTTATAACTTACGCCTGAACGTAAATAAAAATAGCTTTAACCGACGAACATGCATATAAAGACTGATGACTGAGGAAACGAAAGAGGTATGTAAGAATCGTAGCAATTGGCGTTTCGTAGTCCGTGCCTACCCCCATGGGAGATAGGCGTGACCGCGTGAGGTTATATACATATGTATGGCGGAAAGCCCAGAAACACATGTCAAAAACCGAACACATAGTATTAAGTACCTACTTATACTTAATTTTATGTATGTTAGTACCATGAAATTAATGGTAAAACAAATTCCTCATATAAGCGTATAAGAAACCAACAAAGTCAAAGTCAAAGTCAAAGTCAAAATCATTTATTTCAATTAGACCAGAAAGGCACTTTTGAACGTCAACAATAAAATTAGAAGTGAAGCTATTTGCTCATTCCAAAGTGTAGATTCCTATGGAGAAGAACGAGCAAGAAACTCCATAGGTTACTCTTTTTCAATCAGGTTCACAATACAATTGTCCGGTTACATAGTTTGCTGTTTGGATTGTGCGAGAACAATGTAACACTAAAATCTAGTCAAAGTGATTGAAAAAGAAAATAACCTTAAAGACAATAAATAATACAGTCTGGAGCTGACCAGTCCCAGTTGACGGCGCCCGTTCACGAACATGACACGTACACCAGCACCGCCCAAATCAACCATATTGTAGGGAATCGAGCGATCCACTGCACGCGCCACCGCACATTAGACCTTTGAGTGAGCAAGACAACTCCACGCTGACACAAATGCATTCTACTAGTCTAATTTAATATTAAGTTAATTACAGGGCTCTCACATTCACAATGGTTATCTAAGTTAAACAATATACAATTTAGCAAAATGGCTGTATTATTTACAATTTCATTAAAACATCAGTGTTTTTTGTTATCCTGTGGAGCCGGACTAGCCTGTATCCAAGCATTTTTATCAACTATATAATCATTAAGTTTGTAATACGCTTGTTTACATAAAGTTTTCTTTATACATAATTTAAATTTTGATTCATTTAGGTGTTGTATGTCGCCTGGTATCTTATTATAACATTTAACACAGAATCCCATGAACGACTTACTTACTTTCGCCAATCTCGAAATTGGCTGACTTAATCTATTTCCATGTCTAGTTTGATAGTGGTGTCTGTCCGACACTTTACCAAATACCAACAAGGAAGAACATAGATTAATTAGCGTTAAGAGACCCAGAGGAATCAAGACCATAATGATCCATCTTAACAAGGAGAAAATAATCAAGTTCCTTTGATGATTTTTGTTCCACAACATACTTTGTCAATTTAAGAATGACGGCGAATGTTTGACGAACTTACCACATTAACACTATGGCAACACCTAATGAAATTACGTTGAATGTCATCAGCTATGATCGAGTTTGTTTTGAAAATAGTTTTTTGTTAAAATGGTACTAGATTGCTATTTAAGTGAATAAAAGTTAGAAGAAGTTTATTAAACATGCAAAAGAATAATTCGGAGTGGAGCTGGACAAATTTTATCAAATTAACATTATTTTTTCGCTCGAACAGTGTCTATGACGGGTAGGAATCGTATTACTGTTTTTGTATTTAATCTGCCAGAAGTGAAAAACTTACAAAATAAACGATTTTATGTCTTAAATAAGGATTGATTATTTATATGTTAGTTTTGGATTTTATTTGGTAGGTACTAACAACCTGTGGCGCCCTCATTGATTTTCATTAATAAAGACAAACTGTACCACCTTCACATAAAAGAGACCGACCAGTAATGCTCTGTGATAAACCTGAACCATTCAAACTACGATCTTTAACTTGTCTGTCAAATATGCAGATTATGCCAAATCCTTTTATGTAAAGGAGACTTATGGCCGTTTTCCGCAACCACCACTAAATTGCCTCTTAGCTTTTTATCTGTTGAAACACCGGTTCCCGGTATAAAACACATTATACCTACAACTTTCAACAGACAAGAGGTTAGCTCAAGAGTTATTTAGCGTGATGGCTCCTAAAGTAACTGCTAACCTGTACTGGTAGGAGTCACTTCTAGGTTGGTGAAAACAAATATGTTGCTAAGTCAAATTAAGGAGATGATGGTGTACATGGGTATTGTACTCTAACAAAGCAATATCACGGGCTGTTGGTGATGAATCTAACATCAGAACTTAGGAGTACTTAGACACATTGGCAAAGATGCTAAAGAGAACAGAGAGTAAAGTTCCCTAAGATCGGAAAAGGAGGATCCTCCGACCAGTCAAGGTGTTCGTGCCTGGCGGGCAGAAAGCTTTAGTCTCTGTTCCCTAAAATGCATTACTTGCGAATCAGACTAATGCAAGCAACGAGAGAATCCGTAGAAACTTCTAGAATTCCAAGAAACTTGTACAGAATTTATTATTCACACATATGTGAGATATTACACCAGCTCACGACTCTTCCGAGCGAAACTTTGAATTTATTAAAGCAAGGGGAACTTCGATTAGGAAACTTGGTACGTTTCGACGTTTTAAAGGCCCCTACAAAGATACTGTCGAGCTCTTGAATAGGTAATATGGAAAGTTTTATGATAATGCCTATTACAGCCGCTTGGATCTCAGTTCAAACATTAAGGAGTAATTTGGATATTACTTGTTTAATCCTACATTGATCTTTAGTTGGTGAACAAGGAGAATCAAGTTTATGGAAGACATTTTACTATTAGCGATTAGGTACGGGGTTATTTTCACTCCTAAAACTGGACTTTTCTTCTAAAATATTACAATATTGGAGATCAAAACTCATTAATAAGCATAGAGCTTAAATTGGTAAATATTTGGACATCATATCCCTTAACATAATGGGACTAAAATATGGCTGGAAAGATATACTTTCTATACTTGAGGACTGGGCTTCTCCCAGTTGTGCAGTCTCTTGTGCCTTTAGACTTATGTAATTCTGTCTCCTGTATTAAATTCGTCTAGATTTTTTCTTATTTTTCTCCTCTAATAATAATATCCAATTTTTTTCGTTACGGGACCCAAGATATATCCCTGGGAAACGCCATAAGTACTTCAGTGTTTCGGTGTTTTCATGGTTGTATCTAGGTACTGTAGATCCCTGCTTACAGGAGTTGCAGCGGTTTTGGGAGATTCTGGCCGGTGTAAAAAAAAACTTCATTTACGCTTCCTATACATTTACGGGGAAACGCTGATAGAATGCTTAAGAAGAAGATCTACCATACATCGATTTGATTGGAGAACAAACGCAACTAGTTCATACCTAACAATCCTGTCCAATTAACCCGTTGTTCGGATCCAACTGGAACACCGATGTTTCAGAGAACAGAATTTAATTTCGCGTCCATTCTATACGACTGCGAAGTTAGCCTTTGACTAGCCACGGCGTATGGAGAGGTATGTGATCCGTGACGTGCTGTGAATCGAAACTAGTGCTTCGGAATATAGGAAACGAGAGCAGAAACAATATAACAGGGTTCTATTGTAACCGATAAGTTTAATGGAAAGATTCTTTTTGTTTATATTTTACATGATATCACGAATACGGCCAATCGTAAGGCTGTCTATTTAAATATTTTACATTTTAAATAACATAACATAACATCACGCATTTATCCCCGAAGGGTTAGGCAGAGGTGCACATTATGCCACTGTACAATATGTAACACCCACTTGGGGGCGAGCCTATTGCCAGGGCACAATTCCAGACTCCGTGCTACTACTGAGAATTTATAAATTACACAGTAGTACATTGCCCGACCTGGGAATCGAACCCGAGACCCCTTGCCCGGCAATCGCACTTGCGACCACTCGGCCAACGAGGCATTTTAAATATTTAGTTACAAAAGTTATCAATATTACTTCTACTGTATTATGGACAATAGTAAGTAATCGACTCCTCTCATAGACATCTATAGCACCAGAGTCGTTACAGACAGATGCATTGATGACATTTTGAGCGACATAGTGAAACGCAATACAAACTTTTGTGTCACGTCCGTTTTATGTAAGACTAGCTACTGTCAGCGGCTTCGCCCGCGTTCTCGTGGGGTAAAAAGTGGCCCTTTCATTTCGATCCCTTTACCCATTTTGACGTAGAAGCGTAACAAACACACAATCATACTTCTATCTTATAATTATCTTCACAAACTTTCGCAATTATAATATTAGTGGGATCGTATCACTCTAGTCATGGCCCATGTCGCGGAGAACCTAACGGGTAACCGGGGCTCCGGCTCGACGTGCAGGAGAAGGAACGGGGTGGTTTTTAGTCAGTAAGAGTCTGACACTCCCTCCCTCACCCAGGCGGGAGCAGTCATTCGATGATTTTCCCCCCATAAAAAAAAAGCCATGGCCCGTTCGTGCCATAGCATGGCTCTTCCGTCTAGCATGTCAAACTATATCAATAGGTACCTAAAGCAATTAGCTGCTCATTGAAATTCATGAGTAATCCTATAGGCATACACTTCATTTGTGTTGCATACAATATTGTCTAATATCTACCGAGGGAATTAGCGAGTCGAGGCGTTCGTCGTGTGACGGTGTGGCCTGATTCAATATCTATGTTAGAACCTCCTTTAGATGGTTAATGGGGATGTTGACAACTAATCAAAATGCTGTGCATGTTCTAAATATCAAAATGGTGAATTTGCTACAAGATACATACATATTGTCATGTCAAAACAAATAGGTACACATATATTAATATTGGTGATAATATCCAAAGGTGTCAATATACTGCTGACACCTTTGGGTATTGACTTTGAACTGCCTCGTAAGCCGAGTGATCGCAAGTGCGACTTTTTTTTTCTTCTCTTATAATATCTTCTAATTCACTTCGTTGCGGGAACCAAGACAGTTATTTATGTCCCTGGGACGCGCTGGACTTCAGTGTTCCGGTGTTTTCATGGTTGTATCTACTGTATATCCTGACTTACAGGAGTTGCAGCGGTTTTGGGAGATTGGGGCGGCCTTGTCCCTTAAAAAAAAGTGCGACTGCCGAGCAAGGGGTCTCGGGTTCGATTCCCGAGTCGGGCAAAGTATTATTGGGTTTTTAATTCTCAGTAGTAGCGCGGAGTCTGGAATTGTGCCTGGTATATGGCAATAGACTCACACCTTATTACATGGGACTCATAACATAAATAATGAAAAGTAGGTGTTACATTGTACAGTGGCATAATGTGCAGCTCTGCCTACCCCATTGGGGATAAAAGGCGTGATGTTATGTTACGTGTCAATATAAAGAACTTAAAACTGGCAGGTTTAATAGAAAAGCAATACTAAACAGACCTAATATTTGAATGCAATAACATCCCTAATACAAAAACCACATCCAACTATTCGTTTGATGAAATATTTAGCAAAGCCGAACTATGTATTTGTTGATCGGACACCGGATTATTTAGCGGGACGCGAGGTAAATTATTTATGTAGTCATTACATCTCTTATTACAATAACATAATTAGTTATAATGGGTGTAGCGTGTACTTTAGTGAATGTGTAAACAATAATATTTTTTACTGAAGAAATAAGAGAGAAACTTCACGAGAAAGAAACGAGCAGACAGATCATCTGATGGTCAGTCATCCGTGAAGTATATTTAATGGGCAACACTAGAAGAAAAAGATTATTTTCATGTATCTGTTAATTTTTAAAAGAAATTTATTTATTCAATTTATTATGAAAAATCTTCCTACACTCTCATTACAGCAGCTGTATCCAAATGCCATTTAGCGCTTGTCTACTTGTAGAATAGAAAACCAAATTATATGGGATTGACGTAAATTTTGACACTTGTCAGTGTCATCTCCATACATTTAGTTTTCTACTCTCTCTGTAGACAAGCGCTAAAGTGGCGTTTGGCTAAAGGCTCAGGATTTTCTCAATTCGACAGTGAGGCTTAACCTACATATTTAAAGTACTAAAAAGAAATTATACAACGAAAGGAAAAAAATGTAGAAAGGATATTATTATTATTATAAAGATATCGAAGCCACAGTCCAATCTACAGAATCGTAGACAATTAAGTCATCATCATCATCAACAGCCTGTTTTCGTCCACTGCTGGACATAAGCCTCTCCAATGGCACGCCACTGAGCTCGATCTTCAGCTCTACGCAACCAAACTACTACCAGCCACTTTCCGTATATCGTCACTCCACCTAGCTGGAGGGCGCCCTACACTACGTTTGCCTAGACGCGGTCTCCACTCTATAACACAATTAAGTAATATCACTCTACTAACACGGCACTCTACTTAACATTTTTGTTTCAGACATTCAGGCATACCAGACTAAATCTAAATATTACCATTTCTACTACCGACTCCTTAAGATATTAAATATCTATATCAAACAGGCATCCGACTTCATTTCCCTTTATTTAGCTACAAACTACACGAAAACTAGCATAAACCTCCATTATAGGGGAAGGAGTATACCGGGAGGGTAGTTGTAAACAGTCGTTCACGATTTCGGTTAAATCCGTACCCCCAGGATGCGGGTACTTTGAAAATGGAGTATTTACTCAGCCGCCCCTGAATACTGAGAGCCAATTACAAGCCAGACAATACTCCACTTTAAACTCATCCGTTTTGCTACACTTATTTTGGGAATTATTTTTGCACACGGATTCGTTGGTGGAACCCGTTTTCTTTAAATCTAGTTTTATTTGTGCTAAATATTTATCTAGTTAAGCTCGTCCTTTTTTAGCTAGAAACACATTATTTAGGCCTTTTCTGAATGTAATATGTTGTAGGATCCAAGATGAATACCAGTTCGAAGATTCAACATTTTCATACTTCAACTTTTAACTCACTACTTTTAACTTTCACGCCATATTAACTATTGCTCCAAATTCTAAGGTTCTAACGATACGTAAATACCTTTTTGTGTCGTTGGCTGGACTTTCAGAGAAAAATGTCAAAAATGTATGGAGGCGAAATGATCTTCTTTAGTAGTATCTACGTACTAGTCTTAAAAATTTGGCAGTCAAACATTCGTAATTTCAATTAAGATCTCAAACAAACATTTTACTATTTGCACTTTTCCTATTAGGTACACCATTATGGTACCGTTCGCGTGAAAGAGATTTACTTTAAATGAGGACGTAACACTTTTCATTTCAAAGAGACTAGAATTTCGACATGCATAAATGAAATGTACTACGAGATATTTAAGACAATCCAATACCCATTGTCAATCAAAACCAATTTCTCATTTAAGGCTTAGAACCGTAACAAATTCCCGTTCAAATTAATACTATTCATAGTACGATTTAATCCTAACTTTATGGGTTATTGTTTTGAAATTAATCGAATTAAACCTCCTTTGGGAGCCGTGTTCAACAATGATAAGCCCTGAATTACTAAGCACTACGTAATTTTGATCGTCCCTGAGGATACCTTGATTAAGTGGTTTTCATTGATGTTGTGCAAATATGGAGTAAGAATAATTTTCTGGGCAACTTTGTAGGTGTAAATTGCTTGAAATAAAGACATATCGCCTCTTTGCGTACAACAAATTTTGTTAGTGGAAATGAATGACTTTTTCTGCATGAAAACTGCATTTTTCGTCAATGTTTATTTTGTTTTAACGACATCTTGTAACACAGCTGCAGAAAAAAAATTACAGAGATTTCATCATTTCATTTCTGAAGTGAAGAAGTGACCTACTTCCCACGCAATAAACGCGTTATCTGACCAAAAGAAGACAGGCTAATTTAAACATTTTATGACCCTTTCAAATCACATGCCCCATGCCTCCAATACGTCTACAACCATCTTTCTACTAGCCACATACCTTAGTTCCTTCAACGCTGATGATACGGTACAGGTTCCTTGAGGAATCGTAGAAGAAGGAGACGGAGACGGCTGCAGAACTGGCCGACATCCATGATCGCTTGGTCTTCGGGTCTATGTGGAACACGTGGGCCTTGCACGTGAATATCGGCTGCTCACTGCAACAAAAATACAAGGGTTATGTAAAAAGCTTTAAAACTACACAAAAGCTTCCCATTAAAACTTGTTCAAGTGGCCATTATCTTTCTACATCGTACACATTGAGAACATTACAATGAGCCCAAACACGATACCTAAGCTCTAAGTCGTTGAGGAGTTGTGTAGTTGGGAATCCTAAGGGTGTCATTATTTGACATTACTTTAAAAAACAAAACTTGTTTGGAAATGCACTCAGGAAAAATGCCTGGTGCGCCATATGTTTAAAAAATTGTAGACCACATCTCAGCCTTTCATCTCGACGGTTTAAAATAGGTACAAGTACTTAACTAAAGTGTACCAAATGTGCTTTAAAGTATACTCGTATGAAATATGGTTGTATACAACATCAAACTCAACGCCAACAATTATCGCGTTCATAATTATCCCTCAAACGCTTCGAGGCGGTCTTCGGCAAAAATAAACGGTCAGCCCCACCTGCCGCTAAAGAGAAACGTCTCTCATCACGAGTGTGTTTGAAAACTTATAAATAAGTCTTCGCCAAGTCAAGAAAATAAACAGTTTAAGGATTGCGAAATTGGAGAAACAGTAGATAAATGAACAGTAAAATTCACTATTTAAACTGTCAAACACCAAGCGGTCACCGGTGACCGCGACCTATTGTTCTTTAATTGTGTCTATAAAACCGGTACTCGACGAGTTAATTATTTAACTTTATTGCACATACACTTTTAAAATTGGCGGACTTAATGCCGTAGGCATTTTATGACAGTCGATCATTGAGTGGTGCAGAATGTTAAAGCGGTAGGTACAAAATTATAGAAAAGAAAGTATGAAGTATATAACAGATGTTAAGGTGTTAAAATTTAATATCCTAATACAATAGAATCATAAGCCTCGTTAAAAAAATCTACATAATTCCCGATCACAATTCGGCCGACTCGGGAATTAACCTCAAGATCTATTGTTCAGCAATCATACTTACTACGACTCGTACAAACCAGTCGGCAGTGGTAGTCGACGAAAATATAACATTCCATGTTTATAGTGTAAACACACTGGAGGGCTGAGCTTTGTACGGGCACCCGAGTAAGTAGCTCCTGTTAATATCAACAACACAAATAATGGCTTTCGCAAATAAATCTGTTTTAATCTAAATAAAGCGAAACAGAGCACGCTGCCTGGTGAAACAACGAGTTGAACGAAGGAGTTAACATTTTTGTAAAAGTGGGCGATATCATAATGTAAGAGGTTAAGCAGATCAGTAAAACTGACGATTTTTCTACTCTATTAGATAAGAATCAAAATCTAATAACATGAAAAACATAAAAAAACGCTAAAACACCTAAGTAACCTAAACGTAAATCAATACTGCATTGTTATGATTCATGCTTTCAATTAGTATGATTCTTAAAACATAAACATAAATCATGAATATCCTTACAGAGGCATTCTGAAAGAAAGCAATCAAACTGACAAATTGCCTGTTGCTCATCAATAATCGACAAACAACCCCTGTCTTAAAACGTCACAAACTGAGCTGACTATCACCAAAAAGCTAAAATACAGTTGAGGCATAGATAACTTGAATGCAGAATTTAACTAATCCCTTCTGCCCTAAATAAACTGCATATAAATAGTGGCAACCCAGTTGAAGAACTGGGTCAAGGCATGGACTGCTGTTGATTCCCAATACTTTCGAGCAGCTTAGAATAACAATAATAACTTGTATCGCCCTGAGGAACAAATATACAGGTGTTTACTGACCCGAATCGTACCAGATTACAACAGATTACCGATAAGTCCCGTGTAATGCAGAGCGTATTGTCCTTAATTGGTCAGTAATCCAAATTCCTTGAATGGAACGATAATAGGTACTGTTTATAGAAAACGATCGAAGGAATTGTCGTCGATTGAAGGATGGATATCGAAACAATCTTCAAATATTTCAAAACAACGTTGTCAGTGGCATCTGCCTTTTTGTTCATGATAAACTTGAAAACTACTAAACGGGTTGTAATAAAGTTTACATCTGAAGATAGAATAAGTAATTCTTGAAAAAGGTTAAAAAAATGTAAGTACTGCGGTCGAAGTTGCGGATGAAAAACCACGGTCAAATATTGGCTGGTCTATAGTGAATATCAATTCAGTTTCTTTTGTATATTTATCTGGTAGGTAATCAAGAGTCTGCGAAATCGGGCGTAAGATTTAATACAATAACAATCACTGCGGTAAAGCCAAAAAAAGACATGACATATTGGTTAATTTGCCGTTCGCCAAAACGTGTTCGTTTCACAAAATTAAGGTCATTGTCACATTATTGTCGTGCAGGTGTTGAGGTCATGTTGTTTACAAAAACTAGTACACCTCACCGCAGTGATTGTTTTACATATGAATAAAATCTGTCAGACACGTATTTTGGAGAACCTTTTGAATAGCGTGCCTGATTTCATCCACATATTAAAAATCTTTAAGCAATATAACTGAGAAAAACAATTCTACCAAGTGTTGAGAACCATTTCAAGTAGAAAGCAAAAGAAATAAAGTCTCCTTTGTCCAACAATAATGAAGATATCGATACCTTATTCAATTCACGTCAACGCGCCATTAATTTCTCACAATACACACATCACAAAGACCTCGCAATAAACTCGACTTTCGCCTTTAATCACACAAAACAGACAAACAAAGTCCAAACTTACTTTTCGTTGATTTCAATATCGTCTAAATCCATTTTAATTTCAATTCACTCGACAGGTATTCACAAAATGACACCACTGACACTAACGATGCCAACACACCTGGGTATGAAACATAACCATGTTTAGTTGTCCCAAAAGCTTTGTAGTTCACGTAATATTACATTTTAAATGTTAAAGGATAAGGTTTATAATTGTAGAGCAGTGTATGCTGATAAATCGATAACGCACGGAGTGAGATATGACACAAATGACGGATTGATAAGATAGTCCACGAGAATGTTCAGTTTGGACAGTTTGACGGCTATATGTGCCTAATCACTTAAGTTACGAGGTAATCGCAAAACTTTTAGGAGACGTTTCTTCACCAAAGCTATAAAGCTAGCAATATATCTTCCAATTTGGTCGCGTAACTGCTTTTGTGGAATTCCTTGCGGGAAGTATAAGGTTTTCAAGAATCAAAATGGATAAATGAGGCGAAGAGGATACAGATTACCGAACTTTTCACATTACTTTATGTATCGTCTTTTTTTCATCTATCTGAATTCACCAAACTAAATTGTCAACAAGTAAGTGAATATTAAAGTTCACAAAACTATAGATCTCAGTTTTTCTACGAAGATATGCACAATGCAAATCTTTCTACAAAAGGTAAGACAATAAGTTTAGTCAAAATGGCGTCTCATTATATCCCTTTATCAGTTCCGCGCAAAATATTACGATTCAAATCAGGAAAGACCCGGAGGCAGTGGAAAGAAAAAGAGTTTTCCATGCATTCGATCCACCAACCGAAGATAAGGCCTACGTTTCAGATTCATACCAAAACGAGGATCAAATAAAGAACGGTTTACTCAGGAATGTATATCCAAAACCAGTCTTTATTCCAGGAGAAAATAATGCCCATTTTCCAAACGGCTCCACCTATGCCATACAGAACACAATATTACAAAACAGCTCGATACTGGGGCCACTGGGAAACTTAAACAACGCACAAATTCAAAGAAAACAAACTTCCCGAAATCTAATTTTGAACTCCGCTAACCTTTTGCAGCGCCGTCCATAGTTTCCAAAGGTCACGTTAGCTATAAAGCATTCGTTTACAACTTGTTCCTGTGAATACATGACAGATTGTGGAACTGTTCGCCGAGGGGTCCTAAACCAAGAGTTATGACCCTCAAACTTGCAATGACATTAATGTACGTTCAACTTCGGTCTAAAGTCTAGACTAGACAGGCTCATGAATGTAATCTGTCGTATTATCAAATCAAACTTTCAACAAGTCACCCAACGTCTTTAGCTTCAACTTTGGGAACCATTCATCCATATTATTTCTTTGTAATAAAAATTCCCTCGAGAAGTTCTTTCGTTGATTGTGAGTCACAAAGCTGCGAGCGTTTTTGCTTTATTTTGCCTTAGAAATTATCTGTTACTTTATACTTTCCTCTTTGGAACGCTTCAATTACATTTTGAGAATTTCTCAAACACGAGGATCATTGTTTATCATGCATTTGAAGGAATCCAGATGAAATGAAAATGGTTTCGTAATTTTGGAACTTTTGTGAGAACAATGTATTATTTTTCTTGTAATTCATAAGTCTTTTGGCTTCTTACTGTTCTGATGGCTAGCGATGGAACACGCCTATAAACAATTTAATCACTCCGGACATGAATCGATGTTAAATCCATAAAACTAGAGTCTACACCAGTTTCCGATCGCAAATATAAAAAAACCTTTTTACAACTTTAGAGTAAAAAGTAAACGTATTTTATCTAAGATTAAACTTAATTAAAATCTTCAGAACATTTAAGTAGTCCAATCTGACATAATTCACTTATAATAAGTATCAATCGGGAAGTGGAATTTTCCCTGGAGGGTACTTGAGAATCAATTTATTTTCTTCGCCCTTGTGGTGCGAAGATAAATATTGATTCTACGTGACCTAACATTCTTTGAAGCGTTATCTAGTTAATTAGTATGTTACGACAAATAACCTTAGGCAAGTGGACATCTGTGTATTATAATCGATAAAGCTGATGAAACGAAAAACCTTCCATTCAGAAACCAAGAGTCCGAAGTTTTCATTGTGAGTTACAACCTCTTTGGCAAATTTTCTAGTTATAAGTAATTGGTAAAACTGTGAGTTACGTCAAACCTGGTGAGCAAATGACTGAATGCATGTCGCTGCCAACCGGCCAATATAGAAATCATTAGAGCAGACCTATGTTCAGCAGTGTCGTGGTGGCCCGGAAGTTTTTGACGCCCGCTTCTCATGCCATGGTTCGAAACCTACCAACGGCAAGTA